AGCAAAATGAATACAAGGGGCTGGAGAGATGGCTCAGCAGTTAAGAGCACTTGCTGTTCTTGCAGAGGACATGAGTTAGGGTCCTAGCACCAACAAGGTGGTTCAGAACTATAGCTTCAGTTCCAGGGGGATCCAATGCCCTTTTCTGACCTCTGAGGGCTCTTGTATACACATGATGCACTTATAGACACTCAGGTATATACATACATATAAAAATAAATATTTAAGGAAAACAAAAACAAAACCACAGCACAAAAATTTATTTGAAAACATGGAAATAAACACTAAAGGTTAAAAATGGTTGCATCTGAGAAGAATAATAGAGTGCAGGAATAAAAAGACAATTATTTTTACTTTCAAAAATATTCTAAATGCTAATTAAAACAAAGGGCTGAAGAATGCTGGGCAGCGGTGGCACACGCCTTTAATTCCAGCACTCAGGAGGCAGAGGCAGGCAGATCTCTGTGAGTTCAAGACCAGCCTGGTCTACAGAGCGAGATCCAGGACAGGCTCCAAAACTACACAGAGAAACCAAACCCTGTCTCGAAAAAACCAAAAACCAAAACCAAAACCAAAACCAAAACCAAACAAACAAACAAAAAGGCTGAAGAAATGGTTCAGTGGTTAAGAAAATGTCCTGTTCTTGCAAAGGACAGGAGCTTGGTTCCCAGCACCAGGAAGGGAGGGCAGCTCACAAACACATGACTCCTGTGGAGCAGAAGCTCCCTAGGCCTCTGAAGGCCCTTGCACTCACTCACATGCCCATGCACAGACACACAGATAGAGACAGACAAATCTTAATCTTCAAAAAATTAAAATAGCAATTTCTAAAATTTAAGAATATTGTATTAACTAAAAGCAAAATTTGAGGTTTTAACTTAATAAAACTGGCCGGGTGGTGGACAAGGCCTTTAATCCCAGCACTCTGGAGGCAGAGACAGTTGGATGGATCTGTGAGTTTGAGGCCAGCCTGGTCTACAGAGCTTTTCAGGACAGGCGCTAAAGCTACAGAGAAACCCTGTCTTAAAAAACCAAACCAAAACAAAATAAAAAAAATAAAATCCAAGCCCTTTATATCTTATGTATTTTCTTGGCTTATAATTCTCAAAGGAAAAAACACTTCACTTTCAGGTGGTTAGTTCATTTCTTATATTTATCCATTTCTGTTTTTCTTACTCCAAATACTCATGGCATCAATTACTCCAAAAATATTTCTGAGAATAAATTCTTTTTCATTGATGTATAAATTTCCTCCCAATGTTCTATATTTAAGGCCAATGTTTGACAGCATTCTGCGATTAAATACTGTTGGATTTGAGCACTAGTGAGCCCCACAGGGATGTGAATACACAGAGATGGTAGTGCATGCCTTCCTCAGTTGCTTGCCATGTTATCTTTTGAGATTGGGTCTCTCACTGAATTGGAGGGATCTGTCTGTCAATCTTGTTCCCTCTATCCCAGAGGGGAATGCAAATTCAGTTCCTCCTGTTTGTGAAGCAGGTACTTTACAGAGCCATCTTCCTATCTCCTCTGCAGTAATTAAAAAATACATTACTTAGTCTATAATCCCAATTCATACTTCATGTAAATAACAGGTAAACCAATATAAGTACATTTTTCATAATGTGTATTTTGTACAACATATACTGACTCCTCTTTTCTCACAGAATTGAATTCAAATATTTTCAGTATTCAGGAAGGATGCTTGTCTGCTCTGACTTCCTTTTCCCAGACTATCATTCTCCCAAGAGTCTCTACCTTTTCTGTCAATAAATCTTCTCACTCATTTGCAAAATGCTATTTTCACTTTCATCTTTTGTAAATGCTATGTACTCAAACTTAAATACTATCAAATAAATGTTATTCAAGCTATGTTGTTAAGCTCAAATCTCATGACTGTCTGGAAGCTGTAGCTTTGGTTTACACTGACCTATCTCTTTCTCCATTAGCTGAGAGAGCATCCAACTTGTTTCCTAGAGTTCCCACAACATGTTGGCTATCACTGGGATCAATGTTTCACCATAGCCAACCATGAAAAAGGAACGACAAGAACTATTATTTAAATCACATTTTAAAAATTAAGATAATTTCAAAAGCTTGATTTCAGTTCTGTCAAAATCAGTATTAAAAATTCACCATTATATCAAAAGGAAACAATAAAAACAAAACAAAACAAAAGGTTTCATTGACCTTTCTTCCACATGCAAAATATTTTTAAGATGGTGAGACTTTCGTGAGGGATTTGCTTCTGCGGAAACTATCATGAGATACAGTTCATTCAAGAAAGCATATTAATTTGCAAAGGGAGTGAATGATGTTTATACAGAATAGACCTGGATCCACCAACAAAACTTATTTTTGTAAAGATGAATTATTTTTAAATTTTTATTTTCAATTATTTATCTCTCTCTCTCTCTCTCTCTCTCTCTCTCTCTTTCTGTGTGTGTGTGTGTGTGTGTGTGTATGTGTGTGTGTGTGTGTGTGTGTGTGTGTGTGTGTGTGTGTGTGCTGACACCACAGTGTATAAGTAGAGATCAGAGGATAATTTACAGGAGTCAGTTTTCTTCTTCCACCACATGGATCCTGGGTATCAAACTTAGGTATCAGATTTAGTAGCGAAGTGCCATCTCCCCAATCTTTATCATGTCTATTTTATTTATTCATTTTGAACAAATTGCTCACTACTCAGACTCCAGAACTAGGAACTTTGTGTCACAATACCACAGCTGAGCAGAACTGATTTCAGATACAACCCAAGCTACAGCATATTCACATTATAAGGACTAATATTTCCCAAAATAAGCATTTGTACTTACTTCAAGGATACCTTTACTTTGGGTTTAAAATAGGGTGCACTCTGATCTGCTAAAAAGACGATTAAGTCATTTCCTAAAAGAAGCAAATAAATAATTTTAGAAAAAAAGGCCTTTGGTAAATCATGCAGTCAGTGCTTAAAAATTTCTAGGTACTGTTTCTATAAGAAGACTTTTATTCTAATCTAGTCAGAGAGCACTGTCAAGGATACTCACACTAATGGAATGTGGGAAAGGGCAGTATGGAAAAGCATACTTGTTCAAGGCAAAGCCAAGTCATGGGATTCCATCAAGAGGCTGGAGGGCTAAATTAAAAGAACCATCCATATAAAGAAGACATCTTAAACTATCCTCTTCTACACCGAGTATGAGATCCTGGTTTGATCTGCAGCAATGCAGAAAACACACCACCACCACCACCACCACCACCACCCACCACCAGCACCACCACCACCACCAAAACCCATATTCTTTACTGTGCTTCACAGTAGCTAAGCCTTACTTTACTATAGTTAAGCCTTTGTGTTTTCCACATCCAATCAGATCTCCCTTATAGGAGGCTCTTTATTTCATTACACAAATTCATCATGCCAATGATGCAAGAATTCCTACTACATATTCTTCTCACAAGAAATAAGGAGACAAACACATAAGCAGGAAAAGCAGAGCCCTCCAAACTTTCCTCCTTTGCTTGCTATGGAACTACCTTCTGCATGGATGGGTCCATGCAACTCAGTGCTCACTGGGCCAGACTTTCAGCAACGCTTAATCAAACATAGGGTATCTTTAAAGTTAAGGAGAGTCTCTGGATCCATTTTGGCCAGATTACCTATATAGGTTTGCACCATTCTTACAATACGGGTAATTATTCAAATACAGGGAAAACAAGTCTATAAGAGGTTCTTCTGGGCTGGAAAGAGCCCTCAAAAGTCCTTTTGGGATCCTATCACTCAGCTCTATATCAGCTTTTAACTTTATTCATGGCCTTGGTCCTTAACCAGCACCTACTAATGAATGTACTTTGTTAGCATCAGATTTTTTCTTTTTTTAAGGCTTAACATAGTTATTGAACTTTCAAGAATGGCAAGTTGGCCAAAAGTGATGTGCAAGCCTACAGTGATGAAGTGTTGAAGACTACAGTAATAACCAAGGCGAGGAAGGGTTCAGATGTACTCTAAAAGACCAGGCAGATCATGCTGGAGAAGTCCGCGTTCATCAGCAGTTAACAAAAAAACGCTTGTGTGAGCTGTGGAGTGTTTGGTGCCTTTGGAAGGCACAGTGCCTTCAAAGAAACGTGGATCTTAACAAAAGGAAGGTTAGATGAACTGAGCAAATAGTAGAGGCAGTACATTTCTCATAAGAAGAAACTGTCAAGTTGCATCTTTTCTGACCAAAGAGGGCGGAACATTGGACAAAAGAAGGGAAAGCAGAGGCCAGATACTAAGGTTCTCGGGAATCAGGAAGGACTTTGTCAGGCAGGTGAATATTCACCAGGTGAAGGCTGTAGGCTGGCCGAAGGGAGGCTGGTGTGTTCCTAAGCTTTAGGGACTGATGGTAAAAACGCGCGGTGATTGGGTCAACCCGGGGTTGATAAAAATTGGGGACAGGGAAAGCTGTCAAGGATGATGAAGATAAAAGGGAGAGCCACAAGGCTGGGAAATGCAAGAGGGAGGGTAACAGGAACAAGGGGGCGTGGGTACACCGGGAGGGGCGAACAGGGGGAGGGCCGGCAAGCACTGACTTTCCCGCAGCACGAAGAGGTCCGTCTGCTTGTCGGAGTTGAGGTCCCCGAAGGCCGCCAGGGTGCCCCAGGCCTCCGCCCCAAAGAGCTCGGCCGTGACGTTGTGCAGAGCCCGCGCCGGGGCAGGCCCAACGCCCAGCAGCGCGAGCCCCAAGAGCAGCGGCGCCAGCAGCGCCCCGGCGCTAGGCAGCAGGCCTGCCGCCATGGCGCCCTCGGCCCGGCCGGCCTCCGCCGCGCTTGACGGCAGCCGCAAAGCACCGTGCGGCCGGTCGAACCGAGAAAAGACTCAGGGTGCGGGCTCACGGGCTGCCCGTCTCTGCACTCTCACGCTCGCCTCGGGCTGTCCCTCCGACGACCAAGAGGCCAAGGAACCAGGGCGACGTCTGGCTGGCAGCTCACTTCCGGCCGGCGTGCCTCCCGACAGTGTCGCGCGCGGGGGCGGGGCCGGGCGGGCGGTGCTGACTGGCAGCCCGGGCGGTGGGCACTGCGCGATGGCGGGGGCGGAGGGACTCATGGCCGAAGTAAGCTGGAAGGTCTTGGAGCGACGAGCCCGGGCCAAGCGCTCAGGTTTGGCTGCCTGTGACAACAACCTTGCCCCTGAGGGGTACAGTGGGTGGTGCTCTTCCTTAAGTCCCCTGGAGGGAGGCAGATGGGCTCGATCTTGGGGAATCAACTTGTGTCCCTAAGTTGTCTTCGGAAAGCAATAGGTGGCCCTGGCTGTGCCCTGATCTTGTTCCCCCCATGCCCTCCACTCTCGATGCCCCGCACTTCTCGCATTTAGAAAACTTCCGTGTTTCTTCCCCAAAGTTATTTCCTCTTAAAAATTAGCGGCAAGCTGACTTCTCCAGGAAAGTTGCCCCAGTGGCAAGTTCTTGGGAAAGGAAGGGTGCCTACCACCACTCTGAAAAAGTAGACCTTCATTTTTAGTGAGATCCTGAAGAGCGGGCGACTATTCTTGTGTTATTTCTTATGTCCCCTTCACACTCCTCAGTAATTTTGAGCCGCACACAGTTCTGTGTGTCAGGAGTTGAGGAAAACAGGGTTTGGGCCACAAAGTAAGTTAGTTTACAGTTAGGGTTGAGAATGAAATTGGCCACTTCCCGAGGCAAGTGATCCCAGCACCTGTAGTTACCAGTCCTGGTTCCCAACCACGGAGGTCAGAAGATGCCAACAGTCCAAGTGTCCTGAACTGACTTGTTCAAAATGCAAAGTCACTGACGATTTAAAAGTTAGTACTCCTGGTTAATAACTCCTCGGAGGGCCAAGTTTGAAACTGCTCCCATTTAAACTGGATAGAATCTTCAGCAAAAACTGTGTCCTTAAACACAAGAGATGGTGGAATGACGAGTCTTCAGTCAAGGACCTTTCCCTTTAAAAAGAGTGAGGAAAGACTGTGGAAAGTACCAACTCCATTCTGGTTTAAATCTTAAAATCCTTGTGTTTATTTACTTAGGGCTGTAGTGGAACAACCACATGAAAAGTTGAGAGAATTTCTCAAAAAGCAGTTGACTTCAGTCTAGAGTCAGTACACTTGAATCAGTCATGGAATATTTGTTTCCTACTTTTTCTTAAAAATTTTTATGTCATAGAAATATTGACTTATTTCTATATGATTACTAACTATGTAGCTGTGGGAGTATAAATAGTGTTATGGGGTTGTTCTTCCTGGGCAAAGAGAATATAACTAGTCTTCTAGGGAGTTGAACAATGTCCCCAACAAATACTTTTTTGCAACATAATTCCTTTTAGTAAGCATATAGAGTCTATTTTCTCTTCAAGTCTTTGTTTTACTCAAATGCATGTCACAGCAGTAAACTTTGAAAACCTTACTTTTCTTAATAGGGTAAATTTGTTTAATTTTGCTATTGTTGAATGCAGTTTCTTAAACCAAGTCCCATGTACAAGTAGTTATCTGTATAGTATCATTTTCAAATGTTCCTGTATGTTTAATTTATAAGAGTAAAATTTAGATAGAAGTAAAAAAAAAGTTAGCAATTGAAGCAAATCTTTAAAATTAGTTCGTAGTTTCTGTTTTCAGACTGAGAAATATAGACAAAAAAAAAACCCTCTTGAACCACATTATTTACTCTCTGCTTATTACAAAGAATTAACTTGATTCTGTTTACAACTTTTAGGAGCATATATAAATAGCCTTGTTTGAAACATAAATTAACCTGTTGCTGGGATAGACTCCTCTTTGGAGTTCTAAGCATTGTTACATAGTAGCACAACAACTTTACTATACAATAAAGCATGTTACTCATGAAATGTTTCTTAGTAAGTGGATATTATGTTTCTTTCTATTCATGTAAGCAAACTTAATTTACCAAATAAAGGAAATCAAATTTTCAAGTTGTAAAAGATGAACTAAAGTTATTTAATAATCTTCAGTTGTCTTGTGCACATTGCATCATGCTAATAACTGCTCATACTGCTTTCAATTAATCTAATGCTGATTGCTTCTAACCTTCACTAAACAGCTTTAAAATTGGTGTAGTTTAGCCTGCCACGCTTATGATAAGAGTCAAGTTGAAATGGCCCACTCACCTGATGCAGCCTTCTCTTCACCTGCTTTGTTAAGGTCTGGTAAGTGTACAGACCCCAAAAGGGTCAACTGATCATTTTATATGCCGTCGTTTCTGAAGGCTGATGTCACTATATGGTGTCTTTTATTTGTTTTATTTCCCTTTTGGTGGACCCAACTTTGAGTACCAACCATTTCAGTTGATGTTGGGCTTATGTTTCCATTGTGTTTTGAATGTGTTTGTGGTGTACAAGGAAGACAAAGGGTGGAGTTCCCGTCCTGACAATTGCAAGATATTTGACCAAAGGTGGTTTCTTAGTGCCTGGGAACTTCAGTTGTCAAATGATTAAACGATTTTTGTCCATTTTCTAGGTATTGTAGTGCACATGGATTCAAATGTCTCTGTAGTGTGGTTTAAATTTCTCTGGGTGCATGCCCAGATAGTAGATTTATTTTTAGGGTTTTGAGAATCCTTCAGCCTTATTTCCAAAGTTGCTGCATTAGTTTATACCCCCACTAGCAATTTATAACAGTCCTGTTTATTAACATTGATGCAGCATTTTTTTTTTTCATTTGTGATCTTGATGATGGCCCTTTTGACTGGGGTGAAATGGAATCTCAGAGTAATTTTAATCTGCATTTCTCCTATGCCCACGGATGTTGATGACTTTTAAAAGGATTTCTTAGACATTTATAATTCTTCTTTTGAGAGCTCTATTCTTGTTTTGGATCCATAGCCTGTGTTTTAATTGGGTTGTTTTTTGGAGTTAAGTTTTGGGGTTGTTGGTTTGTTTATCTGTTTGTTTGAGACAAGGTTTCTCTGTGTAGTCCTGGCTGTCCTGGAACATGTTCTGTAGACCAGGCTGGCCTGGAACTGAGTGATCCACCTGCCTCTGCCTCCCAAGTGCTGGGATTAAAGGCGTGCGCCACCACCACACAGCTAGAGTTTAGTTTTTTAAGTTCCTTGTATATTCTAATTACTAATTCTCTTCACTCAATTAACTGTTTCTTTTGTTGGGCAGAAAGCCTTTTAATTTCACGAGAGCCTGTTTGACCATTGTTGGTCTTATTTTCTATGCTATTCTGAAAACCTTTACCTATCTGTTAAAGTGTACTTGTTGCTGTTTCATCTAGCAGTTTCAGGATATCAGGTCTTATATTGAAATCTTTTATAGATTCGGAATGTAGTTTCATGCAGGGTGAGATTTAGGGATCTAGTTTCATTCTTCTACATGATGATGTCCAGGTTTTCCAACCATCATTTGCCAAGATAATCTCTTTTGTCTAATATAGGTTTTGGCTTTTAGTGGAAAGTCAGGTTGCTTTAGTTGTGGGAACTTCTATCTGGGATCCTCAATTCTACTCCACTGATTTATGTGTCTGTATTTGTGCCAGTACCATTCTGTTTTTATTACTGTGGCTCTCTGGATTAACTTGAACTCAGGAATGGTGATACCTCCTATATCAGTATTGCTTTGGCTCTCCTTGGTGTTTTGTTTCCCTATAAATTTTAAGATTCTGTTTTCACTGTCTGTGAAGATAGTCCTCGAAATCTTGATTGTGATTGCATTGAATTTACAGGTTACCTTTGGTAGAATGGTGACTTTCATAATATTGATTCTTTCAGGCCATGAGCATGGAAAACCATACCATGTTCTAGTGTCTGTCCTAATTTTTTTTCTCCTGTGTCTTACAGTTTTCATTATAAAGGGTTTTTTTTTTTTCATTACCTTAGTTGGGTTTATTTTTATTCATTTTATTTTTTGGTGGCTATTGTAAATGAGATTGTTTCACTGGTTTTTCTTTTAGTATGTTTGTCATTGATATATAGGAAGGCTATTGATTTTTGTGTGGTCATTTTGTAATCTGTCACTTTGCTGAGTATCAAGCTCTATTGTTGGAATTAGTGTCTCATGTGTAAGATTGTATTGTTGGCAAAGAGTGATACTTTGACTAATATTTTAAGCCTTTGCTTGCCTCTTAACTTCTTTCTCTTGTCTTGTTCTAGTTAAAACTTCAGTTACTCTATTAAATACAAGTGGAGATACTGGACATCCTTGTCTTATTCCTCATTGTATTCGGACTGCCTTGAGTTTTTCTCTATTTACTATGATGTTTGCTATAAGTTTGTAGTATATAGCCTTTATCTTGTTGGGATATGCTCTCTCCATCTATAAACTGTTTATATCATGTATCATGAAGCACTGTTGGATTTTCTTGAAAGCCTTTTCTGTGTCAGAGGTCAGAGAGGGTAATGGATTCCTTGGAAACAGAATTGCAGATGGTGATGATGCTGGGAATTGAACTCAGGTCCTCTGGAATATCAACCATTGTACTTAGCTGCTGAACATCTCACCAGCCCTGACTGCAAGTATTTTGTTGAGTTTTTTTGCATCTATATTTATCTGGAAGATTGGTTTGTAATATTTTGTTTTGAGCAGGGTAATACTGGCTTCATAAAAAGAATTTGGAGGCATTCTTATCTTTTCTGTGTTGTGTAATAGTTTGAATAGTATTGGTGGTCTTTGAAAGTCTGGTTAAATTCTGCAGTGAATTGATCAGATTCTGCTTTTGTGTCCGATTCCCCCCCCCCCCCACCCCCCCACCCCCCCCCCGCCACTTTGGTGATGGCTTATTGCTTCAAACTCATTGGTTATAGATCTAAATTAGTACCTAATTATTATCTAAATTATCTAATTATCTGTAGATTTAAATTATTTCATCTTGGTTTAATTTTGTTGATTCATAGGCATGTAAACATTCATTCATTTCTTTTAGATTTTTTGATTTAGAGGAATAGAAAAATTTAAGGTATTTGCTTATTTTTTAAATATTATTAGCATTTGTTATGATATCTCCCTTTGTATTTCCAATGTTTTTATTGGATTATTTTCTTTCTTTTTGTTAAACAAAAGATTTGTCAGTCTTGTTATCTTTTGAATGAACCAGCTTTTCCTTTCATTATTTTTTCTCTTTTCCCTCTTAGACAGGGTCTCACTATATATTCCTGGCTGGCCTGCAACTCACTATGTATACCATACTAGCTTGAATTCACAGAGATCTGCCTGTCTCTACCCATTAACTGTTGGGATTAAAGGCTTCACCACCACATTCAGTTCCTCTCACTGAGTCTGTATCTTCTCTCATTAATTTCCGCTCTCATCTTAATTATTTCTTCCCATCTACTGCTTTTGGGTTTGGCCTTTTCTTATTTTTTTTCTAAGGCCTTACAGTGCATTATTAAGTTATTTATTTGAGAGCGCTTGTATTTTGATGTTGGTATTTCAGGCTACAAACTTTCTGTATAGATCTGTACTTATTATGTTGCATACTTTTTGAAATATCATGTTTTCAAGTTTATTTCATTTAAAAAGGATATTTTTAAAATTTTTTGCTTGATTTCTTCAGTGACCAAATTATCATTCAATAGTGTTTTTTTTTTTTTAATATCTCTATGTTTGTATCCTTTGTACATGTTCCCTAGCTTTTGGTTATTGATTTAATTCACTGTGATCATATTAAATAAGGTTGTTATTTCACTTTTCCTATATTTGTTTAAGTTTACTTTGTATCCTGAATTCCATTTGCTTGGAATATCATCTTTTTCCTGTAGCTAGTGTTTTTCTGCCTTGCCCACAGTCAGGACAAATCTCTGTCACCCGCCAGTCCCACAGCCGCTCAGACCCAACCAAGTAAACACAGAGACTTATATTGCTTACAAACTGTATGGCCATGGCAGACTTCTTGCTAACTGTTCTTATACCTTAAATTAATCCATTTCCATAAATCTATATCTTGCCACGTGGCTTACCGGCGTCTTCACATGCTGCTTGTCATGGTGGCGGATGGCAGTGTCTCCCTCTGCCTTCCTGTTTTCTCTGTTCTCCTCTTGTTAGTCCCGCCTATACTTCCTGCCTGGCCACTGGCCAATCAGTGTTTTATTTATTGACCAATCAGAGCAGTTTGACATACAGACCATCTCACAGCATTTTCCTGTCATTTAATTCCAAGGTAGTTCTCTATCATTGGAGGAAAGATGTGTTTCTTGGATCTATGAAAAGATCTTTTAGTCTGTGTCTTTTTAAGAAAGAATTGAGACCATTAATATTTAGTTGTTTTTGAAAGATGTGTGTTTTTGTCATATTGATACTTTTCTCTAGTTCTTCTTTGATTACCTGCCCTGATATTGTTTGTTTTCCTTGTGGCCTCTATGTGTGGTTATCCTTCTTTTGTCTGATGTACACCTTCCAGTTTCCTCTGTAGAGCTGGCTTAGTGGTCACAAATTCTTTGTTTTTATCATGGAAAGTTTTTATTGCTATATCACTTATAAAAGATAGCCTTGCTGAGTATAATGTTCTAGATTGGTAGTTGTGGTCTTTCAGAACTTGGAACATATCTCTCCCAGCCCTCTGGCCTTAAGACTGTCTAACAAGTAACCAGCTGTTCCTTTAATGGGCCTGCCTTTTCATATGATGTGGCCCTTGTCTCCTGAGCTTTCAGGATCTTTTCTTCATTTTGTGTTTTTAGTGTCTTAATATGATATGTCATGGGGAATCTCTTTTCTGTTTCTATGTATTATTGCTTTGTGGGCCTCTTGTTTGTAAGGCATCTCTTTTTTTCCCCTAGCGTTAGGAAATTTTCTTTTATGATTTTATTGAAAATATTTTCTATGCCTTTGCCTTCCAGTTTTTCTTCTTTTCTGCCCAAATTTGTAGGTTTAGTCCTTTTATGGTGTCCCAAAACATGTCCCATTCATGGAGCTAAAAAATGTAATCATTTTCTGTGAATGAATGATTGAGTTCCTCTACCTTATTTTCTAGTTCTTGTGTTCTGTCTGGTTCATTCTGTCAGTAATGCTTTCCACTGAACTTTTTATTTCAGTAATTGAAAACTTTCAGTTTACTTTGTGGTTTTTTTTTTTCAGTAATTCTCAGATGTTAGTGTCCTCTTTAAATTCGTTGAACTGTTTGTAATTGTTCTTTTAAATTCAGTGTGTTTGATTTAATCTAAGTTGTCCTCTTAGGGGACCATTACTATGCTATTGGTGCTTTTTGTGGGCAG